CACAACCATCACTCCATATTATTATCTCCTTGAGTTCTGGATGGTCTTGGATCACACCTTCAAAATGGGAGTATTGGATGTAGGCAAATACCTCACTACTAAGGTCAGCCTCTGTTTCGTCCCAGAGGTAGCAGTACCCTTCCTTTGATCTCATGTTGAAGAGGGTAAAGTTATGGACCTGCAGTTTTGTTTTGTAATACAGGCTGCTCGCTTGGGTTCTTGGACACAGCAGCACAGCTTGCATATCCATTGACCAAACTGACTTCTCATTATTTGCCGATTCCTTGTCTCTGGACTTCTCTTGCCTTGCTTCATCTTTCTTAATGATATGTGCATCATATTCAGCCTGGCTTATGTTATTGTGCTTGAATGAAACACAAACATCACACTGGTCTTTCCGTGGAATGAATACAGAATAGTTCTCTTTGTGGAACACATTACTAAAATACCCTAATCCAACGCTCCTTACTCCAGCAGCTGTAGCCATTTCTTCATATTCCCGATGTAGTTGGGATATGGTTGTGCCTGGGTGAAGGAACTTCTTATCTTTGTAGGTGCTTCTGCAGTAGTGTGAAGGGACAGTGGGCAGGTCCCTCAACCACTTGGAAAGGAAATCCACGTTGTCTGTTTTAAGTTTTGAATGCTTGCCACTCTTAGGTCCATATTTAGATGGCTGCGCTTCCATTTCTTCATCATTGTCAATTGTTTATTTGTTAAGCCATTCTGTAATGGTTCTTTCTGGGACACCAAGTGTAGAGGAAAAAAGTGATTTGCACACTTTGAGACTCGTTCCATCTTGTGGCTTCAGTTGAAAGGACAGTGAGCACCTTCGTCAGGATGCCTCAACAACTTTCTTTCGCTTGATGTCAACCTTTTTGACTAAAGTGGTTATATAACTGACGTTCTTTCCAGGACTCCATTGCCCATATCTTCTGAAATATCCACTGCCTCTGCTCTTCTGTGATACCTTGGCATTCACGAGTAGATGTACGCTGACAGAACTATAAGTCTTTCTCATTCTTGTCATTAAATATTTTGTTTATAATTGATGTAACTTTCTCTATGTTATTAAGATACATAATTTTGCAACAGTTTGTTTCCAAAATGAAATTAAGTGGTAACCATCTGAAAACTCCAAGATACTGTTTTCTCAGGATCGGCCCCCTGGATGAAATAATAGCCCACCCTTGGTTTACAAGGAGACGTGAACAGCAGATGCTCATCAGAGGAGCTAATACAGATTACAACATGTTTTTCCAAAATTATTTGTAAATACATAAAGTCATTCTTTACTAAATTCACTTTTCAAAAGTATTTTACTAAACTAATTTACTTCATGCTTAACATCACTTAATGTGGCACTCAATGTCCTCCACAGTTCTGGACCATTCCAGATGCTTGCTAACTGCTAGCTTGTACAGCTACTTTACTATCAACAATTCTGACTTTAAATTGAAATTAAATTACTAAATATTTGCAATATTTAAAGCCTAGCCTCTAATGTAGTCATCATAATCACTTACCAACAGGAGATGAGCCATGAATCATGGAAATCACTTCAGTGACTGAGAACATTTGTCTTGAAGCAGTCTCCATTTTGATTTTGACAGTTTGTAAAATTGCCTAAGTCACATTGACTTTGGACTTAGGCCGAATTATTTTGCCTAAGTCACGCTCTTGTCATGGTTTATATTACGGCCTAAGTAACAACAGGGTTTTAAAGCATGATCTCCTCAACAGAGGCCTTAGGCGTTTTTACCAGAGGTGCCCAGCGTCAAGAGGCGCTGATTTAGGCAAATAAATCATTTTTGGAAAAATGTCACTTAGGCGATTAGTTTAAGAAGGCGTCGATATGAAATAAAGACATTGTAATTCATATATACAGTAACTTTGACTATTTAAATAATATAATTAAACGTGATCTAATCAAAAGTATCCTGTGAGTTAATTGGATGAAGTCTTGCTTTAATTATCCTTCAACTTGTAAGAAATTCATACCATTGTATTTGTTATTTATTTTACAGCTGCATATTAGCATAAAATGGAAATATATAACGTGAATATAGTCCAATTATGGGTGATATCCATCAAGTTTTTCCTCAAATAGAAAGGCTTAGAGAAAGAGTCGGTTACACCGCTAGACATTTCATTTTTAAATCATTTTATTCAGGCATTAACATGGACAACTCTATGAACATATAGTCTTTGTGTAATCTGTTAAACATATATTATCAACTTAATATTTGTTTATACATTATAAATCAATTATTTACGTTTTACTCGGGTCATACCATTTGACATGTAATCTATTGTATACATCCTCATGTCTGAAATATGTCAAATTATTTAATATTTTCAAGAGAGATACTGACCTTTACATGCAAACTGCAGAGTCATCAGGGGTCCTGCTGCCGGATGTCACTTCCTGTCATGTGATCTTCTTTTGCATTATGAGCAAAATGGCTGCCTGAATGCCGGTTACACCACCTTGACATAGGTGAAGTACGCTTGACTTTCAAAATTCCCGGATTCAGACAAAAAAGGCCAAACAAAACTGAATAATATATTAATATCTATCATTAATATAAATAGTTGAATATTATGCCAGGCTATTTTACAAACAAAATTGTAAAAAATTTAGCCATTTAGTAAGGGGGAGTTTTTTGCTACATTTTTTTGGGTTACACCACTTAGACATTTTGTCCTAAAAAACCTTATTGTTCTCCCAAAATAGATGCAAAATCATAATTGACATGCTAGGCAACTAGATTATGTTGTATAAAACCAATTTTAAATGTTTTTTTAAAAATACATTATTTTGAAATGTATTTTAACAGAGCGGCCAAAAAAAAGAGGGCGTCACGTCATTGACCCATTTATGGCCGTAGACATGACAAATGTAGCTCGCGAAAATTCAATTTGGTAGACGTCAGCCAAAAGCTACCCCCTCCAGGCCGGTTCGCTTCCCCAGCCATCGCTCAGCAAACGCCCCCTTCCAATCATCCGTGCCGGACAGGCAGCCGCTTAAAAGCGGAGCAACTCCCACTCTCGGCCTTCTCGAAGCCTCGCATGCTCCTGAAGCCTTGCAGAGAATCGTCTGGAGGAATCGTTTTCGTCTACTCACGCTACTCGGCGTGTCCCTGGCGTCCTCCGTCTGGCTGCTTGTGGTCTGCTCCTCTTCCGCGTCCCTGCACTGCTGTGGTTCGCATATCCCCACTGCTCTCCTCCTCTGCGGGCTCTTTCTGCGGGCTGCTCCGCGGGGCCCTCCGCAGGTTTCTGTGCGGCTCGTTCCTCGTGGTCTGCTGCCGCACGCAGAAGGTCTGGCGGTGCCGTGCATGTCCCTGCCTCCGACTGGCGGTGCCGCGTTGTCCCGTTGCTTTTCCCAAGTCTCCTGGCATGTGAGTACAGTGAGTGTGCTGACCGCGGACAGATTAATCCCGGAGTTCTGGGCTGCAGGCGATTGGTTTTTGCCCTACGCACTTGACTGCAGGCGCCAGTTTTTTCGCCCCGTGCTTGGTCTGCAGGCTCCGTTTTCACACGTGTCTGAGCTAACCGAGGGGCAATGCATATTAAATGGCATCAATCTCTATCGTCTGAGGGATATACGAGGAGCTATGTGCATTAATTCAGATCATGTTCTGCCACTTGCAGTAAAACCATGCATTAAATAGCTAGGTCGCTGGTATTAAATTAGGTAACTAACTGCAGTGTTGCATTTTGAAAGTGCAGCAGAAAGAAAAAGGGCCGAACGTGAATCTGCAATGGGTGTGAAGTAGTGTTGGAGCTATGAACGCGTGGAAAAGTGATCGTTCATGCGCATCTGCCATAACCAAAGCAGAAGATGGCTCCAGGGGACGTCTGTTATTCGCATGGGAATGTTTCGGATTCGGGTTGATTTATTTCCTCAGGCTGTTAAACAACCGTGGGCATGGTTCTCTGACCGCCGCTGCTGCCGGTCCCCGCTGCCGTTCCTACTGATGCCGATCCCACCGCCGCCGTTCCTGCTGCCACTCCTGCTGCTGCCTGTTCCTGCTGCCGCTCCTGCTGCCGTCTGTCCCTGCTGCCTGCTCCTGCTGCTCCTACTACTACATGTGCCGCTGCCGTTCCGCAGGCTCCCAGGCTGCACTGTCTCTGTGGCTCGGCTCTTTCAGACACGTATGTAACCTGGCTCATGGAGACAAGCGGCGCACACTGGCGCACACGTCTGCACCTTACAACAAATTCAACACCTTACAACACATTTAGCACTTTACAACACATTCAACACCTTACAACACATTTAGCACTTTAACAACAAAATCAACACCTTACAACACATTCAGCACCTTACAACAAATTCAACACCTTACAACACATTTAGCACTTTACAACACATTCAACACCTTATAAAACATTTAGCACTTTACAACAAATTCAACACCTTACAACACATTTAGCACTTTACAACACATTCAACACCTTACAACACATTTAGCACTTTACAACACATTTAGCACTTTACAACACATTCAGCACTTTAACACATTTAGCACTTTACAACACATTCAACACCTTACAACACATTTAGCACTTTACAACAAATTCAACACCTTACAACACATTTTGCACTTTACAACACATTCAACACCTTACAACACATTTAGCACTTTACAAAACATTCAATACCTTACAACAAATTCAATACCTTACAACACATTTAGCACTTTACAACAAATTCAACACCTTACAACAAATTTAGCACTTTACAACACATTTAGCACTTTACAACACATTCAGCACTTTACAACACATTTAGCACTTTACAACACATTAAGCACTTTACAACACATTCAGCACTTTACAACACATTCAGCACTTTACAACACATTTAGCACTTGAATACACATTTAGCACTTTACAACACATTTAGCTCTTTACAACACATTCAGCACTTTACAACACATTTAGCACTTTACAACACTTTCAGCCCCTTACAACACATTCTTCTTACTGCATCTTATTCACTTCTTCCTCTTCTTCCCCTTCTTCCTCTTCTTCCTCTTCTTCCTCTTCTTCCTCTTCTTCCCCTTCTTCCTCTTCTTCCCCTTCTTCCCCTTCTTCCCCTTCTTCTTCCCCTTCTTTCCCTTCTTCTTCCTCCTCCTCTTCCTTCTTCTTCTTTCCTCTTCTTCCCTTTTCTTTCTTCTTCCCCTTCTTCTTTCTCCTCCTCTTCCTTCTTCATCCCTAACCCTTCCAACATCTATGCAGCCACTCACAATGGCTTCAGCCATTGTACCATTTCTAGTTGAGTGGCTGCATAGACTATGCAGCCACTATATGCTCTCCTACTGTTTATTCTTCTTCCACTTCCGCCAGATTTTGGCACTTTTCAACTCTTCAACGCTTTCACCAAATTCAACAAATTATACATCGTTACGACCGGCTTCACCGTCTCATTATTGCTATTACTTTTCACACTTCCACCTTTAGCACTTTTTCAGATATTTACACAAGTTCAAGCACTTTTTCCCATAGACTTACATTGGACCAGTACAACAGATTACTCCCCATACAACACATTACCACACTAACAATTCATTACCACACATACAATACATTACAACATCTTACAACACTTACAGCACCTTACAACACTTACAGCACCTTACAACACTTACAGCACCTTACAACACTTACAGCACTTTACAACACTTACAGCACCTTACAACACATTTAGCACTTTACAACACATTCAACACCTTACAAAACATTTAGCACTTTACAACACATTTAGCACTTTACAACAAATTCAACACTTTACAACACATTTAGCACTTTACCACACATTCAACGCCTTACAACACATTCAGCACTTTACAACACTTTCAGCACCTTAGAACACATTCTTCTTACTTCATCTTTTTCACTTCTTCCTCTTCTTCCCCTTCTTTCTCTTCTTCTCTTCTTTCTCTTCTTCCCCTCTTTCCCCTTCTTCCTCTTCTTCCTCTTCCTCTTCTTCCCCTTCTTTCCCTTCTTCCTCTTCTTCCCCTTCTTCCTCTGCTTCCCCTTCTTCTTCCTCCTCCCCTTCCTTCTTCTTTCCTCTTCTTCCCTTTTCTTTCTTCTTCCTTCTTCTTCCCCTTCCTCTTCCTTCTTCATCCCTAACCCTTCCAACATCTATGCAGCCACTCACAATGGCTTCAGCCATTGTACCATTTCTAGTTCTTCTTCTTCTTCTTCTTCTTCTTCTTCTTCCACTTCCGCCAGATTTTGGCACTTTTCAACTCTTCAACGCTTTCACCAAATTCAACAAATTATACATCGTTACGACCGGCTTCACCGTCTCATTATTGCTATTACTTTTCACACTTCCACCTTTAGCACTTTTTCAGATATTAACAAAAGTTCAAGCACTTTTTCCCATAGACTTACATTGGACCAGTACAACAGATTACTCCCCATACAACACATTACCACACTAACAATTCATTACCACAGATACAATACATTACAACATCTTACAACACTTACAGCACCTTACAACACATTTAGCACTTTACAACAAATTCAACACATTTAGCACTTTACAACAAATTCAACACCTTACAACACATTTAGCACCTTACAACACATTCAACACCTTACAACACATTTAGCACTTTACAACAAATTCTAACACATTTAGCACTTTACAACACATTCAACACCTTACAACACATTTAACACTTTACAACAAATTCAACACCTTACAACACATTCAGCACCTTACAACAAATTCAACACCTCACAACACATTTAGCACTTTACAACAAATTCTAACACATTTAGCACTTTACAACAAATTCAACACTTTACAACACATTCAGCACTTTAACACAAATTCAACACCTTACAACACATTTAGCACTTAAACACAAATTACACACTTAGCACTTTACAACAAATTCAACACTTTACAACACATTCAGCACTTTAACACAAATTCAACACCTTACAACACATTTAGCACTTTAACACAAATTCAACACCGTACAACACATTTAGCACTTTACAACAAATTACAACACATTCAGCACTTTACAACACATTCAGCACTTTACAACACATTTAGCACTTTACAACACTTTCAGCACTTTACAACACTTTCAGCCCCTTACAACACATTCTTCTTACTTCATCTTCTTCACTTCTTCCTCTTCTTCCCCTTCTTTCTCTTCTTTCTATTCTTCCTCTTCTTCCCCTTTTTCCTCTTCTTCCTCTTCTTCCTCTTCTTCCCCTTCTTCCTCTTCTTCCTCTTCTTCCTCTTCTTCCTGTTCTTCCTCTTCTTCCCCTTCTTCCTCTTCTTCCCCTTCTTCTTCCCCTTCTTCCCCTTCTTCTTCTTCCTCCTTCTCTTCCTTCTTCTTCTTTCCTCTTCTTGCCTTTTCTTTCTTCTTCCTTCTTCTTCCCCTTCCTCTTCCTTCTTCATCCCTAACCCTTCCAACATCTATGCAGCCACTCACAATGGCTTCAGCCATTGTACCATTTCTAGTTCTTCTTCTTCTTCTTCCACTTCCGCCAGATTTTGGCACTTTTCAACTCTTCAACGCTTTCACCAAATTCAACAAATTATACATCGTTACGACCGGCTTCACCGTCTCATTATTGCTATTACTTTTCACACTTCCACCTTTAGCACTTTTTCAGATATTAACAAAAGTTCAAGCACTTTTTCCCATAGACTTACATTGGACCAGTACAACAGATTACTCCCCTACAACACATTACCACACTAACAATTCATTACCACAGATACAAATACATTACAACATCTTACAACACTTACAGCACCTTACATACACATTTAGCACTTTACAACAAATTCAACACCTTACAACACATTTAGCACCTTACAACAATTCAACACCTTACAACACACTTAGCACTTTACAACACATTCAACACCTTACAACACATTAGCACCTTACAACACATTCAACACCTTACAACACATTTAGCACTTTACAACACATTCAACACCTTACAACACATTTAGCACTTTACAACAAATTCAACACCTTACAACACATTTAGCACTTTACAACAAATTCAAACACCTTACAACACATTAGCACTTACAACAATTACAACAACTATTCAGTCCCTTACAACAATTCTTCTTACTTTCTTCTTCACATTCTTACTCTTCTTTCCCCTTCTTCAACCATCTTCTTTCATCCTTCTTCCCTTCTTCCTCTTCTTCCCCTTTTTTCAACTCTTCTTACCACTCTTAGCACTGTTCTTCCTCTTCTTACCCATTTAGCACTTCAACACTTCTTCCCTCTTCTTCCTCTTCTTCCACCTTCTACCCCTTCTTCCTCTTTTTCCCCTTCTTTCCACTTCTTCCCCTTCTTCCCCTTCTTCCTCTTCTTCCTCTTCTTCCTCTTCTTCCCCTTCTTCCTCTTCTTCCCCTTCTTCCTCTTCTTCCCCTTCTTCCTCTTCTTCCTCTTCTTCCTCCTTCCTCTTCTTCTTCTTCCTTCTTTCCTCTTCTTCCCTTTTCTTTCTTCTTCTTCCTTCTTCTTCCCCTTCCTCTTCCTTCTTCATCCCTAACCCTTCCAACATCTATGCAGCCACTCACAATGGCTTCAGCCATTGTACCATTTCTAGTTGAGTGGCTGCATAGACTATGCAGCCACTATATGCTCTCCTACTGTTTATTCTTCTTCTTCTTCTTCTTCTTCTTCTTCTTCTTCTTCCACTTCCGCCAGATTTTGGCACTTTTCAACTCTTCAACGCTTTCACCAAATTCAACAAATTATACATCGTTACGACCGGCTTCACCGTCTCATTATTGCTATTACTTTTCACACTTCCACCTTTAGCACTTTTTCAGATATTAACAAAAGTTCAAGCACTTTTTCCCATTGACTTACATTGGACCAGTACAACAGATTACTCCCCATACAACACATTACCACACTAACAATTCATTACCACAGATACAATACATTACAACATCTTACAACACTTACAGCACCTTACAACACATTTAGCACTTTACAACACATTTAACACCTTACAACACATTTAGCACTTTACAACAAATTCAACACCTTACAACACATTTAGCACCTTACAACAAATTCAACACCTTACAACACATTCAGCACCTTACAACAAATTCAACACCTTACAACACATTTAGCACTTTACAACAATTCAACACCTTACAACACATTTAGCACTTTACAACAAATTCTACACCTTACAACACCTTACAACACATTTAGCACTTTACAACAAATTCAACACCTTACAACACATTTAGCACTTTACACAAATTCAACACCTTACAACACATTTAGCACTTTACAACAAATTCAACACCTTACAACACATTTAGCACTTTACAACAAATTCAACACCTTACAACACATTTAGCACTTTACAACAAATTCAACACCTTACAACACATTTAGCACTTTACAACAATTCAACACTTACAACACATTTAGCACTTTACAACAAATTCAACACCTTACAACACATTTAGCACTTTACAACACATTCAACACCTTACAACACATTTAGCACTTTACAACAAATTCAACACCTTACAACACATTTAGCACTTTACAACAAATTCAACACCTTACAACACATTTAGCACTTTACAACAAATTCAACACCTTACAACACATTTAGCACTTTACAACAAATTCAACACCTTACAACACATTTAGCACTTTACAACAACAAATTCAACACCTTACAACACATTTAGCACTTTACAACACATTCAACACCTTACAACACATTTAGCACTTTACAACACATTCAACACCTTACAACACATTTAGCACTTTACAACAAATTCAACACCTTACAACACATTTAGCACTTTACAACACATTCAACACCTTACAACACATTCAGCACTTTACAACACATTTAGCACTTTACAACACATTAAGCACTTTACAACAAATTCAGCACTTTACAACACATTCAGCACTTTACAACACATTTAGCACTTTACAACACCTTACAACACATTCAGCACTTTACAACACTTTCAGCCCCTTACAACACATTCTTCTTACTTCATCTTCTTCACTTCTTCCTCTTCTTCCCCTTCTTCCTCTTCTTCCCCTTCCTTCTTCCTCTTCTTCCCCTTCTTCCCCTTCTTCTTCTTCCCCTTCTTCTTCTTCCTCCTCCTCTTCCTTCTTCTTCTTTCCTCTTCTTCCCTTTTCTTTCTTCTTCCTTCTTCTTCCCCTTCCTCTTCCTTCTTCATCCCTAACCCTTCCAACATCTATGCAGCCACTCACAATGGCTTCAGCCATTGTACCATTTCTAGTTCTTCTTCTTCTTCTTCTTCCACTTCCGCCAGATTTTGGCACTTTTCAACTCTTCAACGCTTTCACCAAATTCAACAAATTATACATCGTTACGACCGGCTTCACCGTCTCATTATTGCTATTACTTTTCACACTTCCACCTTTAGCACTTTTTCAGATATTAACAAAAGTTCAAGCACTTTTTCCCATAGACTTACATTGGACCAGTACAACAGATTACTCCCCTTACAGCACATTACCATACTAACAATTCATTACCACAGATACAATACATTACAATATCTTGCAACACTTACAGCACCTTAAAACACATTTAGCACTTTACAACAAATTCAACACCTTACATCACATTTAGCACTTTACAACAAATTCAACACCTTACAACACATTTAGCACTTTACAACAAATTCAACACCTTACAACACATTCAGCACCTTACAACAAATTCAACACCTTACAACACATTTAGCACTTTACAACACATTCAACACCTTACAACACATTTAGCACTTTACAACAAATTCAACATCTTACAACATATTTAGCACTTTACAACAAATTCAACACCTTACAACACATTCAGCACCTTACAACAAATTCAACACCTCACAACATATTTAGCACTTTACAACAAATTCTAACACATTTAGCACTTTACAACACATTCAACACTTTACAACAAATTCAACACCTTACAACACATTTAGCACTTTAACACAAATTCAACACACTTAGCACTTTACAACAAATTCAACACTTTACAACACATTTAGCACTTTAACACAAATTCAACACCTTACAACACATTTAGCACTTTACAACACATTCAACCCCTTACAACACATTTAGCACTTTACAAAACATTCAATACCTTACAACAAATTCAATACCTTACAACACATTTAGCACTTTACAACACATTCTTCTTACTTCATCTTCTTCACTTCTTCCTCTTCTTCCCCTTCTTCCTCTTCTTCCTCTTCTTCCCCTTCTTCCTCTTCTTCCCCTTCTTCCTCTTCTTCCTCTTCTTCCTCTTCTTCCCCTTCTTCCTCTTCTTCCTCTTCTTCCCCTTCTTCCTCTTCTTCCCCTTCTTCTTCTTCCTCCTCCTCTTCCTTCTTCTTTCCTCTTCTTCCCTTTTCTTTCTTCTTCTTCCTTCTTCTTCCCCTTCTTCTTCCTTCTTCATCCCTAACCCTTCCAACATCTATGCAGCCACTCACAATGGCTTCAGCCATTGTACCATTTCTAGTTCTTCTTCTTCTTCTCCTTCTTCTTCTTCCACTTCCGCCAGATTTTGGCACTTTTCAACTCTTCAACGCTTTCACCAAATTCAACAAATTATACATCGTTACGACCGGCTTCACCGTCTCATTATTGCTATTACTTTTCACACTTCCACCTTTAGCACTTTTTCAGATATTAACACAAGTTCAAGCACTTTTTCCCATAAACTTACATTGGACCAGTACAACAGATTACTCCCCATACAACACATTACCACACTAACAATTCATTACCACAGATACAATACATTACAACATCTTACAACACTTACAGCACATTACAACACATTTAGCACTTTACAACAAATTCAACACCTTACAACACATTCAGCACCTTACAACAAATTCAACACCTTACAACACATTTAGCACTTTACAACACATTCAACACCTTACAACACATTTAGCACTTTACAACACATTCAACACCTTACAACACATTTAGCACTTTACAACACATTCAACACCTTACAACACATTTAGCACTTTACAACACATTCAACACCGTACAACACATTTAGCACTTTACAACACATTCAACACCTTACAACACATTTAGCACTTTACAAAAAATTCAACACATTTAGCACTTTACAACACATTCAACACCTTACAACACATTTAGCACTTTACAACACATTCAACACCTTACAACACATTTAGCACTTTACAACAAATTCAACACCTTACAACAAATTCAACACCTTACAACACATTTAGCACTTTAACACAAATTCAACACCTTACAACACATTTAGCACTTTACAACAAATTCAACACCTTACAACACATTTAGCACTTTACAACAAATTCAACACCTTACAACAAATTCAACACCTTACAACACATTTAGCACTTTAACACAAATTCAACACCTTACAACACATTTAGCACTTTAACACAAATTCAACACCTTACAACACATTTAGCACTTTACAACAAATTCAACACCTTACAACACATTTAGCACTTTACAACAAATTCAACACCTTACAACACATTTAGCACTTTACAACACATTCAACACCTTACAACACATTTAGCACTTTACAAAACATTCAATACCTTACAACACATTTAGCACTTTACAACAAATTCAACACCTTACAACACATTTAGCACTTTACTACACATTTAGCACTTTAATACACATTCAGCACTTTACAACACATTTAGCACTTTACAACACATTCAGCACTTTACAACACATTCAGCACTTTACAACACATTCAGCACTTTACAACACATTTAGCACTTTACAACACCCTACAACACATTCAGCACTTTACAACACATTCTTCTTACTTCATCTTCTTCACTTCTTCCCCTTCTTCCTCTTCTTCCCCTTCTTCCTCTTCTTCCCCTTCTTCCTCTTCTTCCCCTTCTTCCTCTTCTTCCTCTTCTTCCTCTTCTTCCCCTTCTTCCTCTTCTTCCCCTTCTTCCTCTTCTTCCCCTTCTTCCTCTTCTTCTTCTTCTTCCCCTTCTTCCCCTTCTTCTTCTTCCTCCTCCTCTTCCTTCTTCTTCTTTCCTCTTCTTCTTTCCTCTTCTTCCCTTTTCTTTCTTCTTCCTTCTTCCTCTTCCTTCTTCATCCCTAACCCTTCCAACATCTATGCAGCCACTCACAATGGCTTCAGCCATTGTACCATTTCTAGTTGAGTGGCTGCATAGACTATGCAGCCACTATATGCTCTCCTACTGTTTATTCTTCTTCTTCTTCTTCTTCTTCTTCCACTTCCGCCAGATTTTGGCACTTTTCAACTCTTCAACGCTTTCACCAAATTCAACAAATTATACATCGTTACGACCGGCTTCACCGTCTCATTATTGCTATTACTTTTCACACTTCCACCTTTAGCACTTTTTCAGATATTAACACAAGTTCAAGCACTTTTTCCCATAGACTTACATTGGACCAGTACAACAGATTACTCCCCATACAACACATTACCACACTAACAATTCATTACCACAGATACAATACATTACAACATCTTACAACACTTACAGCACCTTACAACACATTTAGCACTTTACAACACATTCAACACCTTACAACACATTTAGCACTTTACAACACATTCAACACCTTACAACACATTTAGCACTTTACAACACATTCAACACCTTACAACACATTTAGCACTTTAACACAAATTCAACACCTTACAACACATTTAGCACTTTAACACAAATTCAACACCTTACAACACATTTAGCACTTTACAACAAATTCAACACCTTACAACACATTTAGCACTTTACAACAAATTCAACACCTTACAACACATTTAGCACCTTACAAAATTCAACACCTTACAACACATTTAGCACTTTACAACAAATTCAACACCTTACAACACATTTAGCACTTTAACACAAATTCAACATCTTACAACACATTTAGCACTTTAACACAAATTCAACACCTTACAACACATTTAGCACTTTAACACAAATTCAACACCTTACAACACATTTAGCACTTTACAACACATTCAACACCTTACAACACATTTAGCACCTTACAACAAATTCAACACCTTACAACACATTTAGCACTTTACAACACATTCAACACCTTACAACACATTTAGCACTTTACAACACATTCAACACCTTACAACACATTTAGCACTTTACAACACATTCAACACCGTACAACACATTTAGCACTTTACAACACATTCAACACCTTACAACACATTTAGCACTTTACATTTCAAAAAAATTCAACACATTTAGCACTTTTCAAGACATCTTCTTTCTTTTCTTCAACACATCCTTCTTTCCCCTTCAACCTCTTCCTTCTTCATCCCTAACCCTTCCAACATCTATGCAGCCAACTACCACAATGGCTCAGCCATTGTTACCATTTCTAGGTTCTTCTTCTTTCCACTTTCCGCCAGGATTTTGGGCACTTTCAACTCTTCAACGCTGTTCACCAAATTCAACAAATTATACATCGTTACTTATGACCGCTTCACCGTCTCATTATTGCTATTACTTTTCACACTTCCACCTTTAGCACATTTTTCAGATATTAACAAAAGTTCAAGCACTTTTTCCCCATTGATTACATTGGACCCGTACAACAGATTACTCCCATACAACACATTACACACTAACAATTCATTACCACAGTTACAATACATTACAACATCTTACAACAAATTACAGCACCTTACAACACATTTAGCACTTTACAACAAATTCAACACCTTACAACACATTTAGCACTTTACAACAAATTCAACACCTTACAACACATTTAGCACTTTACAACAAATTCAACACCTTACAACACATTCAGCACCTTACAACAAATTCAACACCTTACAACACATTTAGCACTTTACAACACATTCAACACCTTACAACACATTTAGCACTTTACAACAAATTCAACACCTTACAACACATTTAGCACTTTACAACAAATTCAACACCTTACAACACATTCAGCACCTTACAACAAATTCAACACCTTACAACACATTTAGCACTTTACAACACATTCAACACCTTACAACACATTTAGCACTTTACAACACATTCAACACCTTACAACAAATTCAACACCTTACAACACATTTAGCACTTTACAACAAATTCAACACCTTACAACACATTTAGCACTTTACAACACATTCAACACCTTACAACACATTTAGCACTTTACAACAAATTCAACACCTTACAACACATTCAGCACCTTACAACAAATTCAACACCTTACAACACATTTAGCACTTTACAACACATTCAACACCTTACAACACATTTAGCACTTTACAACACATTCAACACCTTACAACACATTTAGCACTTTACAACACATTCAACACCTTACAACACATTACAGCACCTTACAACACATTCAACACCTTACAACACATTTAGCACTTTACAACACATTCAACACCTTACAACACATTTAGCACTTTACAACACATTCAACACCTTACAACACATTCAGCACTTTACAACACATTCAGCACTTACAACACATTCAGCACTTACAACACATTCAACACCTTACAACACATTTAGCACCTTACAACACATTCAACACCTTACAACACATTTAGCACTTTACAACACATTCAACACCTTACAACACATTCAGCACCTTACAACACATTCAACACCTTACAACACATTCAACACCTTACAACACATTTAGCACCTTACAACACATTCAACACCTTACAACACATTTAGCACTTTACAACACATTCAACACCTTACAACACATTTCCACTTTACACACATTCACACCTTACAACACTTTCAGCACTCTTACAACACATTTAGCACTTACAACACATTCAACACCTTACAACACATTCATCACCAAACTTCACACCTTACAACACATTCACCTTACACACATTCTACACTTACAACACATTCAACACCTTACAACACATTTAGCACTTTACAACACATTCAACACCTTACAACACATTTAGCACTTTACAACACATTCAACACCTTACAACACATTCAACACCTTACAACACATTAGCACTTACAACACATTCAACACCTTACAACACATTTAGCACTTTACAACACATTCAACACCTTACAACACATTTAGCACTTTACAACACATTCAACACCTTACAACACATTTAGCACTTTACAACAAATTCAACACCTTACAACACATTTAGCACTTTACAACAAATTCAACACCTTACAACACATTTAGCACTTTACAACACATTCAACACCTTACAACACATTTAGCACTTTACAACACATTCAACACCTTACAACACATTTAGCACTTTACAACACATTCAACACCTTACAACAAATTCAACACCTTACAACACATTTAGCACTTTACAACACATTCAACACCTTACAACACATTTAGCACTTTACAACACATTCAACACCTTACAACACATTTAGCACTTTACAACAAATTCAACACCTTACAACACATTCAACACCTTACAACACATTTAGCACCTTACAACAAATTCAACACCTTACAACACATTTAGCACTTTACAACACATTCAACACCTTACAACACATTTAGCACTTTACAACACATTCAACACCTTACAACACATTTAGCACTTTACAACACATTCAACACCTTACAACACATTTAGCACTTTACAACACATTCAACACCTTACAACACATTTAGCACTTTACAACAAATTCAACACCTTACAACACATTTAGCACTTTACAACAAATTCAACACCTTACAACACATTTAGCACTTTACAACACATTCAACACCTTACAACACATTTAGCACTTTACAACAAATTCAACACCTTACAACACATTTAGCACTTTACAACAAATTCAACACCTTACAACACATTCAGCACCTTACAACAAATTCAACACCTTACAACACATTTAGCACTTTACAACAAATTCAACACCTTACAACACATTTAGCACTTTACAACAAATTCAACACCTTACAACACATTTAGCACTTTACAACACATTCAACACCTTACAACACATTTAGCACCTTACAACAAATTCAACACCTTACAACACATTTAGCACCTTACAACAAATTCAACACCTTACAACACATTTAGCACTTTACAACACATTCAACACCTTACAACACATTCAGCACCTTACAACACATTCAACACCTTACAACACATTCAACACCTTACAACACATTCAGCACTTTACAACACATTCAACACCTTACAACACATTTAGCACTTTACAACACATTCAACACCTTACAACACATTTAGCACTTTACAACACATTTAGCACTTTACAACAAATTCAACACCTTACAACACATTCAGCACCTTACAACAAATTCAACACCTTACAACACATTTAGCAACACAAATTTACAACACATTTAGCACTTTACAACACATTCAACACCTTACAACACATTTAGCACTTTACAACACATTTAGCACTTTACAACACATTCAGCACTTTACAACACATTTAGCACCTTACAACAAATTCAACACCTTACAACACATTTAGCACTTTACAACACATTCAACACCTTACAACACATTTAGCACTTTACAACACATTCAACACCTTACAACACATTTAGCACTTTACAACACATTCAACACCTTACAACACATTTAGCACTTTACAACACATTCAACACCTTACAACACATTTAGCACTTTACAACACATTCAACACCTTACAACACATTACAACAAATTCAACACCTTACAACACATTTAGCACTTTACAACACATTCAACACCTTACAACACATTTAGCACTTTACAACACATTCAACACCTTACAACACATTTAGCACTTTACAACAAATTAAACACCCTTACAACACATACAGCACCTTACAACAAATTCAACACCTTACAACACATTTAGCACTTTACAACACATTCAACACCTTACAACACATTTAGCACTTTACAACAAATTCAACACCTTACAACACATTTAGCACTTACAACACATTACACATTACAAACACATTAAGCACTTTACAACAAATTCAACACTTACAACACATTTAGCACTTTACAACACATTCAACACCTTACAACACATTTAGCACTTTACAACACAT